ATCTTTTCCTTTTATGTCCAGGTGATAGTTGTTGGAAAGTTGCATTATAGATTATGACTGTACATCTGTATCATTTAGGTTTTGTTTTGCTTACCTGGATGGGGAGAGTAGTAGCTTCAACCAAGTCCTTTCTGCTGAAATCCTTGTTTTTAATTCAAACCATTCTAATCTGGTTACCTCAACCATGTCGTGACAATTGGCTGAGAATGGGCTTTACTGTTGGGGTCAGAGAAAGAAACTATGGAACCCTTGGTAGCTCATTGTGATGGATTTGCATAACACTTAAAGTATCTCAAATTTGTCATGAACAGGGCAGAACAATAAGTTCCATTAACAGAGGCATCCTGAGCACCATCTGGTCCAGGTTTGTTGGTTGAGTGGGATGAGGCCTAGAATGTGGACAGGGTTCTTGGTCATTTCTGGCCTACCACTTGAATGCTTGACCCTTGTCCATCATGGGATGTTCCTGGATCCAAAACTGTCACTTGAGACACAAATGGGTTCAGTGGCAAGGATTACCTTTCATCAGCTTAGCCTAGTGTACCAGCTATGAACCTATGCAGACAGACCAAGACTAGTGACAATGAACCATGCTCTGGTAAATTCTTTTTTGGATTACTGCAATGCTCTCTGCATGGGGCTGCCTTTGAAAATGGTCCAGAGACTTCAATTGATTCAAAATAGGATAGCAAGGCAGCTAACAGGACCTGGTTCATGGGACCATAACATTCCAGTCTGCTTTCAGTTGCACTGGTTCCCAACCAGTGCAGGCCCAATTCAAAGTGCTAGCAATTACATTTAAAGTCCTGAACAGTTTGAGCCTGGTTATCTGAAACAACACTTCACCCAGTATGTACCTTCTCAGACCCAAAGGTTATCTTCTGAGGTCCTTCTCAGGAAGCCCCCTCCAATGGGAGTATGGGGGGTGACTACAAGGAGAAGGGCCTTTTCAGTTTTGGCACCCCAATTATAGAACCAGCTCCCGAAAAGGGTTCTCCTGGCACCTATTCTTTATTCATTTTTGCACCAGCTAAATACGTTTTTATTTGCCCAATTTTTTAACAGTTAACTTTTCTCAATATTTGT